GTGCAGTTCAGCCCAAATCCAAATGTTGGAGTCCCAGGGGACTGAATAATGTAAGTCTTGTCTGAGGGCAGAAGACCAATGTCAAACTCAAGCAATTAGGCAGAAGGGGTACACTCTCCTTTTCTCTGTCTTTTGTGTAAGTCAGGCCTTGAACAAATTAGATGATGCTGACCCACTTTGGGGAGAGCAATCTGTTTTATTAAGTTCACCAATATAAATGCTCATCTAATTCAGAAACACCCTGACAGACACACCCAGAAAAAAATAACCAGTTATCTGGGCACCCCATCACCTAATCAAGTTGACATACAAAATTAACCATCACAAGTCCAATGCCTTGTTAACTTGGCACCTGTAGGGACCATGCACAGGCTCTCTAGGAGGTGCCAGAATGGCATGCTGATTATACCGAAGACAAGTGAAAACTAGAAAGTCCAAGAAAGATGTCTCGCCCAATTTTCCATCTCCCTGAAAACAAGAAATAAATCTTCTTTGTGGTGGTCCTACAAGTGAGACAGTCAGCCTTATCATCCCAGTCTAGGGTTTGCAAGGTCTGTTTTTAATGCATGTGAAGACAACCCTGCAAAATCCCTTCCTTTAAATTGCTTCAAGTTTCTTTGTTCTGTTTTCCTCCTATATTTATTATTCCCTTTCTAAAAGCATATAATCTCATTGGAATGACCAGGTTGCAGACTTCAGTATTCTGTGGGTCTCCATGAGCACATATTTAAATTTATCTTTTCTCTTGTTAACCTGTCTCTTATCAACTTATTTTCTAGCCATAGGGATCTAGAAAGTAAGGGAAGATTAGCTTCCTCTCTAACATACCCATACCTCTCTCCTTAAACAATCGTTAATCTCAAAAGAAAGACAAAACAAGGCCATAGGGCCTCCCTGGTGGCGCAGCGGTTGAGCGCTGGGTTGCAAAGCTGCCCACAGCCTCTGCAGCGCCGGTTCAACCCCGGCTGCTCCCCGGCCACCGGAGGAGGGTCCCACATGGTGTGCAGACCTCTCCTGCCACCCGCTGCTCCCCTCAGTAGTGTCCTTCTGCCTGCTCTGCTCCCCACTCTGGCTCTGGTGAATTCTCTCACCCTCCTGCACTTCTGACTGTGCCCAGTGCTTGTATAAATAAACAAATAAATAAATCTTAAAAAAAAAAAAAAAAAAAAAAAAAAAGGCCATAATTCTGCCTAACACATCATAGCTATCTTGCACACAAGTGAAAGGTGTGAACCCTTCCCCGGAAGAGGAGGTAAAGTACTCGAGTGGTATTTACTCTTCCTGTTTTCCTGTAATTTAAATACTAAGATATAAAATTAATATTTATACATCAATATAAATTGAGTATGATATAAAGTCAATGTAGACACACTAAGAAAATAAAAAATGAAAGAAAACAATTATGCACACACAAATTCATACAAAAATGTTTGTAATAAGATAGCAAAGAGGAAATACTCATGACCACTTTTGTCTTTGTCTCTGTAACTGGTCTTGTGGTAATGACAGCTAATATTTATAACTACATTCTTCTCATGCCCACTCTGTATTTTCTTGTCCTTCAGCAAACATCTCAGCTGGCTATGGTTCATTATGTGGTAGGGTTATCTGAAGTTTCATTTCTTCATGCAGGCCATTAGCACTCCTGCCTGGATTGGGGTATGCAGTTGTCCATTTCCCCATTTTGGAAACTGAAGGCATCATAATTTATTCCAGCTTTCAGTTCTTCCCATTGTAGCCACTATTTTTTCCCATCTGTAAATACAATGATTCTATCAAATACATCATTTATATCATTTTACTGTTCTGTAACATCTACTTTCATCATCTGTTGGCCTTTAATCTTTCTGCAGACTACAAAGCACCATAACATTTTATGGAGTGTCTACAGAGTGGAGAATTCAGCACATCCATGTTTTGTGAAGATATAAACGTACTGAAGGAGCACTGCTGACTTCTGGAGCAGATGACTATCATTTCTAATTAAATTGGTAGCTCCAATGCTTATTAAGTCTCAGTGCTATCACCACTACTGCCTGAGTTTGATCCCTGGCCAGGGAGCAACCCACATGGTACAGCAGACCTCTCCTGGCTTGCCAACTACTCCCCTTAGCAGTGTATTTCAGTCAATCTGCCTTTTCTGCTCCCAACTCTGTCTCTGGTGAATCCTCCCACCACCACCATCCTCCCTCCCCTGCACCTCTGGCCTACACTCCAGCACTCCAGTTCTACACACACCCCACATCGCTTCTAAAAACAACAACACTTAATTATCTGCATGGCTGAAACAGTTTTGTATCCACTTTAAATATTTCAAATTTGATGAGAGCAGGGTCCTTGGGTTACCTCTGAGACAAGTTTCACCAGAAGCTTCCTTTTCAGCAGCACTCGGGGAGTTTCCCCATGAGGCAGAGACATTTAGTTATATCCGAAAGGGCAGGTTTTTTATTTAAAAAGGGAAGGGAAGTAAAGGACACTTGCAAGCAGAAAGAGCTGCCCCTGAGAGGGACAGGTTTGCTAAAAGAGAGCCTGTGTGGTCGCAGGCGGGCAGCCATGGCAGAAGAACTGCCTCTGCTGCACAGACACCTGCAGAAATTGTACCGATAGAGTGTTCTTTAGGGGAGGGATTCATTCCATTGTGGAATTGTTAACTGTTGTTGTATAAATTACTTCTAGGGTATGACTAGGTAGATTTGTAAGGGCTGGTAATTCTCCGCAATGGCCCTCCATCTCCATACCCCCACCTCTGCTCTGCACCTCTGCATACTTTTCTATTGCAGTCTGATATAGTATTTGGAAACTGAAGATTTTTTATTTCTATAAATAAAAGCACAGCTAGTTTAGCAACTGTGTTAATCATTTCTACCCCCACCTCTAGTTTCTGGTCTTGTGATGGCTCCTTCTCAAATTTTCTACTCTTAGTCTCTACCACCTGGTATCTCTCCAAACACTGGTGAGGTACAGTGTTTTCTGACCCTTTCAACCATACCATAACACTTGATGCATACAATAGGTAGCCATTCATTATTCAGGGTCTATTGTTGTCTTTTTTTTTATTGTTCTTTGTTTAGGTGTAATTTGGTTGTAGACTCCTCCACAAGTCTCATGTCTTCACTCTGCCCTGATCTTACAGTGGTTAAATTTTCTTTGCCTTGAGAAGTTCTGTTCATTGTCTAGAATAGTGATTCCTAAGCAAGGTGACTTTGCCTCTCAAGAGACATTTATCAATATCTTGATAGTTTTGATTGTGTGTGTGCATAATAGTTTTCTTTCATTTTTTATTTTCTTAGTGTGTCTACATTAACTTTATATCATACTCAATTTATATTGCTGTATAAATATTAATCTTACATCTTAGTATTTAAATTACAGGAAAACAGGAAGAGTAAATACCACTCGAGTACTTTACCTCCTCTTCCGGGGAAGGGTTCACACCTTTCATTTGTGTGCAAGATAGCTATGACATGTTAGGCAGAATTATGGCCTTGTTTTGTCTTTCTTGTGAGATTAACTATTGTTTAAGGAGAGAGGTATGGGTGTGTTGGGCCAAGGAGGATACTAGACATAGTATAGTGTATAGGACAACTCCCTACAATAATGAATTGGTTCAACATGTCAGTAGCCCTGAGGTTGAGAAAACCTGCCTGAGAACTTGCAGAAAAACACTAGATAAAGTAATCATGTCTTACTCCTGACCATGTGAAAGTCTATCATATTCATTAAGTCTAAAATTGAATATAAATTAGTAGTAAATATGCATATGACAATATTAAAAAATCCTTTGCAAACTAGTAATTCTCCAGTAAGTCACCACAGAAGTGATTTTAAAAGGTGAGTTGTAGGGCCTCCCTGGTAGCGCAGTGGTTGAGCGCTGGGTTGTGAAGCTGGCCGCAGTCTCTGCAGCGCCGGTTCCATCCCCAGCCGCCAGCAAGGGTCCCACATGGCGCGACAGACCTCTCCTGCTGTACCCACTGCTCCCCTCAGCAGTGTACTTCATCAGTCTGCCTGTTCTGTTCCCCGCTCTGGTTCTGGTGAATTCTCTCACCCTCCCGTGCTTCTGACTGTACCCAGTGCTTGTATAATAAATAAACCTTAAAAAAAAAAGGTGAGTTATAGAAAAGTTATGAAGGAAAGAAGTCCACTGTGTGGTTGACTACTGTCTCTGGACATGCCCTTCCCCAGTAGAACTACTAAAACAAAGCAACAAAGATGAGTTAACATTAGGCTACATTGGACCTGAATGTAGAAGCCTCTGCCCTTATATTTGGCTATTAAAATGATACTGTTCAAGTGAAGTTCTTTGGGTTAAAAGTTTGTGAGCTTAGCATTTGTATGTCTGAACAAATCTATTCTGCATTAACTCTTTAATTTTCCCCTTATTTTGAAGATGATTTTCCATTTTCTCTTTGTATCTAATATTACTGAAAGAACTGTTATCACTTTCAGAGAATGAAAATTGACCTATCTTTTATGAGTTTTTTCATCCTTAATGCTCTAAATTTTTTCAATGGATTTTTTTATAAATTTATTTCCTTTTGGAGCTTAAATTAGATCTTTTATTGAACTCCGTATCTTAACATTTCAAATACTATTTTTTTTCTTTTGAATGAGAATTTCTTAGCTTACTTCTAGATCACTGATTTGATTGGCTGTGTTTATTTTGAAAATTTGGTCCATTTGTTAAATAAGATATTAAAACAGTCAATTTATTTCTTATGACCATTTGCTCTTATTTCAAACAGATATTCCTTTCTAAGATTAAATGTCTTAACATTCTGTATCAATTTCAGTGATTCTTTTCCTATCATGTTCCTGTTATATATTAGCTTTCTTTAAGTTTAAGAAGTAGCACAATTTGTTACACAAACTAACAATGTGATCTAGGCAGGTATTTTTCTAGATACTTCTTTTACTCACAATTAATAGTAATTAATTTATATTAAATTAATATTGTAACCATTGCTATTAATACTAATTTACTGATAATTCACTTAATTCTCTTGCTAATTTTATGAACTAAGAACTATTAATTCAGATGATTAAACTGAGTCAATGAGTGAAGGCCCTAGAACTGGTAAACTTTGGAGCTAGGCCCTTTTTTTCCCAGGTGATACTAGCCACATGAGGCCCTTGGGTCTTGCAAGTTTACTATTTTCTCTTGAAAACAATTGCCCCAGTAACTGCTAGTGGAGAGGGTAGGGGCATCCACAGATGTCTGCAGTATCTTTATTGCCTACACACTTTCCTGCCTGTGCCTACCTCAGCCACTTGGTTTGCAGCTACTTGTCCACTTTGTATCTCTCATGAGAGACACCCTTACTAGACCAAGAGTTAGTATCAAGTTTAGGTTTGCAATTAATTAGAAGAAAATCATACTGTTTTATAAACTTTAGATATTTATACATGTTGTGGGGCAGGGTCTTCTAATGAGACTAAGGTTTACATTTAACTTCTGCTATATCTACTTGAACTGGTTGGTTTTACCAAATCCTGATTCTGCCCCTGGGTGTTACTGGGACCATGAGGAAAGGCTTTTTGTTGTTTCTCATGCACTCACTGCCCCTCAGAAAGCTTTCACCAAACCCACTTTTTTTGTGCTGCACTAGCAATTTCTTTACACAATATAATGCAAAACAGATTTATTTACATGCGTAACAATGAGGGTTAGGATACTACAAAGAAAGCATCAAACAGAATATCAAGATTCTTAAGTTGACTTCTTCAGGGACCTACAATGGGAAAACTTACTACCTGCCTTCAGATTTTAAATCCTTGTCCTGGCTCTTTAGCAGGATTTTTCAGAAGAGCCTTCCTTCTGGGCATCTGGCTGGGTTGAACTTCCTTCTTCCTGCTGAGCTGACTTTTCTATTTCCTTCTGATATTGAAGCTGATAATTCAGATAGTTTATGTTCCTCTTCTGTTTATCCAGGAACTTTCTCAGGAAACGTAAGAGCTACAGTCATAAAACAGGGAAGGACTCATTAAGGATCTTGTCTGCAAGAGAGGCAATTTGTAAGATCTCGCTACCCAAATTAGAGCTCATGGACCAGCAGTCCCAGGAGTTTGTCAGAAAAGCAGAATCTCAGTTACCAACTGAGAACTACTGAATCAATCTGCATTTTTAGAAGAGGCCATATGTGATTCACATGCATATTGTAATTCAGAGCAGTGATGTAGGGCATTTAAGACCTCCAGGTGAATACAAATATCCACCTTCAGCGATAATGAAGGTGATCTCATCACCTTCATCTCATCAAAAGTACAGATTAACAAAACAGTACTACAATGATTTTCCACTTGTTTCTTTGAGTCACATGGAGATTTGGAGTGGATGCCCAGAAACTATTTGCAAAGATTTAAATTTAAAGCCTGGTATAAGACTCAAACATTTGGACCTCTTCAATGTTTTTCAGTGTCCATGACTTCATACTAAGCATTTTCTTCACTTTGACTTCCTGTGAAGCTAGGTTTTTGTAGAGAAAGAAGTTAGCACTGCAAGATCGAATGTTCACCATCTACCAGGAAGACTTCAGAGTCTATAGAATAACAGGTCACCATTAACATTCATTGTGCAGATAGTCAAGGACAGTGACCCCCAACATGTGTATTCTGGACAGCAGCATCAATCACCTGGGAACTTATTCAAAATGTAATTTCTTGGACATGGCATAAAACCAATTGAATCCGAAACTATCCAAGTGGGACCCCACAGTTTGTTTTATTAAGACCTCCAGGTGACTCTGATACCATTAAAGTTTAAGCAATTGACATAAGTTTATCTTAATTATCTAGAAGCATTATTCCTGGAAAGTCATTATCCTGCGTTGAGTTGTTTTCCTCTTTATCAAAGATACCTTCTCCTCTGCCTCCCATCTACTCCCAGAAGTAAGTTCATATTCTTCCTTGGGAGTGGGGGTGGCGGGAACAATCACATAGTAGATGATTCACTGTCTTGAACCTAATTCCCAGAAGCAAAAAATAATGCAGAAGTAAAAGATGATACTGCTTTCAGAACCATTTAACCACTTACATTAGTTTCTTTTTTCCCAGAAGCCAAGGTCTTCAGGTCTTCCAGGAGCTTTTCTAACTTGTTCTCTAACTCCAGAGCAGACTCTATAGCTTGTATGCCAGTTCCCCAGTTATCTATATCAGGCCTCTGTTGGAGAAGAATGGGCAGTCATTTTACTACCTAAGGCACAACTTTGCTATATCCTAAGACCTGTGTAACACTATGACTAGGTTTGCATAAACCAATCACTAGGTTTGTGGCACAATGGAAATCAGAATCTTAAATATAGTGTGATATCTGCCTTTCAACTGCAGACATTGAGTTAACTGATATGGAGCACAACTTGGCATCAGGAATTTAATAAGCTTTCCAGATTTTACTGTTACAAAGCATGGGTACCATTAATGTAGCGAGATGCACAATTCCTTAATCTTTGTAATTTCAAGTTAGTGGTTCAGTTATTATTACCAGACATTTAGTTTTCTTTTTAAAGCTAGAGTTAAAAGGATACCTCAGAATAGGAATATTTCCAGATGTAATACCTGCAACCTTAGGCAAGGTTAAAGTATTTCATTGGTTTGTCTGTCCCAGTGAAAGAAAAAAAAAGTTTGTTTTACTGCATTGAAGACAGATTAGGTGTATCTGCAGATACCTGAAGGTCCATCTGCATTAGGTTAACAATCTGATATAAATTGTTAACAATTCCTCGGTAGTAGCACTTAAGAAAGCAGCACTTCTCAAACTATACAGAACATTAGAATTATCTGGAAAGCTTGTTAAGCTGCAGCTTCTTTGGCCTCAACTATAAAGAATCTGATTCAGGTTGTCTGGATGGGGCGATCATTTTGCATTTCTAGTAATTCCCTAGGTGGTGCTGTTATTGCTGGCCCGGAGACCAAACTTTGTATGGCTCATTGAGGAAAAAAAACTAATAATTTAGTGGCTAAAACTTACGCAAAATAATATAAAGAGGCTACAAAGAAGACATATATTTGCCCTTAACAGTCAGCTGCTATAACCCATGCAGGAATATGAACAACTTAACAAGTTAGGTAGACACTAATAATTTAAATTTTTTTTTAAGATTTATTTATTTATTTATACAAGCACTGGGTACAGTCAGAAGCGCGGGAGGGTGAGAGAATTCACCAGAGCCAGAGCGGGGAGTAGAGCAGGCAGAAGGACCGAAGTACACTGCTGAGGGGAGCAGCGGGCGGCAGGAGAGGTCTGCGCACTGTGTGGGTCTCTCCTCCGGTGGTCGGGGAGCAGCTGGGGATCAAACCGGTGCCACAGAGGCTGTGGGCAGCTTTGCAACCCAGTGCTCAACCGCTGTGCCACCGGGGAGGCCCACTAATAATTTAATTCTCTGGACCCAGGGATGGTCAAATGGAGATTATAACAGCGTTACATAGTTACCTTAATCACTGGAAGGCAGATTTTAGCTTCACGTGTTCTTAGGTATCTTAGGAACTCTTTTGCATGTTCCCTCTTCACCTCAGCTTGGTCTTCAAAGAATGGAGCAAAAGGAGGTAATCCAGTCTCTTCATTGTAATAGCAGGCCTGGGGCAGGGGTTGGAATGGAGAGAAAATAGAGGCAAGAGAAGCTGATTTTTAGGACTGGAAATCTCACATAAACCTACTTTGTTCTTTTTATGGTTGTCCAGAAAGGGGCCTTCCTTGGTCAGTCTGTCAGTTTGTCTTTCGACTTCCAGAAGATCTGCCTGTCCTAAACCCCGGTTATCTCATAGAGCAGCCATTCACTTTCTAAAATGCTGGTACTTAAGTTTTTACTATTATAACCTCTATAAGAATCAGATTTGTGAATCCCACATGCTAGCACTTACCACCAGTAATTGCGTAGACGCCTTGTAGAAGTCCAACATATATGACTCTTTAAAGTCAATCTATTATCAATCCTAACACATCTACATTAACTGTAAAATAGAATGCAGGTGTAAAATTCAGTCTGCAGCCAATGTAGTTTTGAGACCCCACTGGAAAAAAATGATGATTCTCCCTTACATACCCATAGTTTGCAATCACAGCTCTAAATCACTGGGCTAGAGCCCCAAGATTCTAGCCACTGAGTCGCTGTTTCATTTATTAGCAAATCACAAATATAACCATAACCACCATTACTAAAGAGACAGAAGTCATATTATTACCCAGGTTAGAGCTGAAACCTCCCTATGTAGCTTAAGAATTCATACTAACCATAGATAAATAAGCATCACTGATATTCAGCTCAAAAGATGCTATTTCATTAAGAGCTACCCTACAGTCTTCAGGCAGGAGGCTCAGAGATGCCATCTCACATTCAGGCAAAAGGGCATAGAAAGTGCTGCCTATTTAAGTAAGAGACTTCTTAAATACTGCTGGTCGAGTGGCTAACCCCCTTCCATCTACCTGGAAACTAGATGAGATTCCATCCAGCTGAGATTAACAGCTACCAACCTTCTAATGAAGACATTCTTTCTGCATTAAGGAGCCAATCTTACCAGAAAAAGAATGAAAAGACAAAAACTGGTTCTTCTATATATCCCAGACAGTGTGCAGTGTGACTTGAGAAGGCTGATATAGTTCCCGAATAGGGAAGCATTAGCAGAGTAGATGCATTGCCTTTCCTTTTTCCTTTATTCATTAACTAGTTATGGCAGAATGGGAAATCTAAAAAAACTGACTGAAACACATCTTTGCCTATAAAGAGCACATTACCTACTCCACAAGGGCTTGACACACGTATATCCACATCTAAGGCAGAATCTGATGGGAGCTGCGAAGTGTCAATATCATATTTAGCTAAGGGGATTAAGGTAGATCTCATTGATTAAACTGGCTTCGAAGGGGGGTGAGGAGGCAGAGGAATGGACCTGGGGGAAGGGTAATCTACCTGGGAACAGGGACACATGGGCTGTAAAGACAAGATGTAATAGCAGTTTCCCCAAACTACAGTAAGACTACTCTACTTGGGAACTTTTTGACGCCTTTCTCAAACTTTCTCCCAAAAGTTCCTACCTGCCCCAACATACATACCTTCTTTATTTGCCTCCTTTAGAGAGCAGAGAACACCCTTTTTGGTGTTCCCACAGACCACAGTATTTTGTGAATAATATTTGCTAAATCAAACTTTATTAAGTGCAGATATCTCTTATACATGCAGCATATAAGATTACCCATAAACCTGGTGGTTCTTAGTTTAAACCTAGACCATATCTTGTTAAACTGAAGTAAAAGTGGCAAATCACCAAAAATGCTCTCTTTGTGAGGCAGCAAGAAATGAGGGAGTTTTATGAGGGGGAACTCCATTTCAAGAGCAAGCCAAGCATCCTGTCTAGGCTACTCACAAAAATAGTCATCAAAGGAAGGAATGACTGTAAAAAAAACACAAAATCCTTTTGTCACTTGTGTTTTCTGACACTGCCCTTATCCTCAGTTGAATTCCTGTCTTAGTTCCATGGAAGTGCTTCAAGTCAGTGCTTCTCCAACCTTAATTCATGTGGAATCACCTGGGACTCTTGCCAAGATGCAGATTCTTATTTGAGATTTGTAGGGCATTCGTTCTAGATGGTGGCAGATGAGAAAGCAGGTCACAAAGTCTGTACATGGGGAGCAGAAACACATCTTTATTATGAGGCAGCAGGAGACACACAAGTGGCAACAGCAGCAGCATCCAGCAGCAGGAGTCCCCCCCAACCCCCAGCCCCTGGCTCTGGTCCCAGCAGTGGCCCCAACAGTGTCATTCTCTGTGAGTGGCCAGTGTTAGGTGGGAGAGGCCACGAGAGGCCCCTGGAGGAGCCCTATTAACTTTTACATGATTTATAGACAAAGCTGACAACAGGGCCACGTCTAGGCCTCGTTTACACAAGTATGTTTCACAGATATGAACTATACATCAAGGTTACATGTTGACTGCTCTGCACACATGCGAACCACATCTCACTGCTACATGTTATCTACTAGGCCACCTGTGCTGAAAGGTCACAGCAGAAAAACAGTCTGAGAAACGCTGAGAAAACTGTTTTCCCATGCACCCTACAAGATTCTACGTTTTTAACAATTCTGCCAATACTACTCACATTTTGAGCAGGAAGGCTTTAAATACATTGCTAAAAGCTATCTCAGTAAAAATTCTGTAAGACATGGGTCATAATGGCACTGCTGAAGAATCCTCTCAAAGATGAGGAGAAAGGAACATTCTGTATTGCCTCTCACACCACTGCGCTACTTGGCATATCAGAGCCTTGGGGACTTCTGGGGCAGCATCCTGGGGCAGCAGTGCCAGGCACTCACTCAGCAACACTAGCCCCTGAAGGTCAGAGCAGAGGAAGAAGAAGAAAATGTTTGCAGACTAGTGATTAAGTGCTCATAGTTACATTTAAAACATTACCTGAACTCCCCAAAAGGATTTGGGGGAACTTCTCAGGATTATGGTCATATATGAGCAGGTGAGGACAAGTGCCAATAAAATCTGCATTATTACTATTAGTATGAATATCTACAGGCAAGCATTATTGAAAGATGAAGATTTTACCTACTGGGAAACTTAAGAGAGTTTGGCTGTTTCTGGGTGATCTATGGATCTATGTAAACATTCCACTGTTCTACCATACCATCTGGGTCAAAACACAGAGCTGGATACATAGGAAGAAAATGTTCCTGTTCTTGGGGCTACATAGAAATATTGCTACCTAAACACATAAAAACAACCTTATCTATATATAGGGGGAACAGACGGAAGAAACAAATCATCAACATCAGTAACAATGGTGTTAGTATTGTAGTTTACAGGTGATTTATTTTCTGTTTTCCATATTTTTCAGGCTTTTATAATCATATACGTTTTCATGTGTGTTGGGGGTTAGGACTATACATGTGTGTAATATATATGTACATGTATGTTGTATATAATACATATGCAAAAAGTATCTTGGGGGAGTTAAGTACATGATGAACTTAGGAGAAATTTTTGACCGAGAAGAACAAGGTAGAAGAGAGAAACTCATTAATGGGGCATGTAAATAAGTCAAATCTCAAATATTAATAGAGAAATATTAGAGTAGCAGAAAAGTAGGAAGTAGTAGGGAAGATCAAACAGAGTAATGGGGATTAAAAGTACCTAGGTGATTTAAATCAGGATTTATGTTCAGATCTAGTACACTTTATTCTTTGGTTGAAATAATGACTTCTAGAAGTGACTGAGAAATGACTTACATTTAAGTAAGAGTGGAGAGAATTGTCATGATACAACTAAAGATTTTTATATCCTGGCAATATAAAAATAAAGAGATGAAGAAATTTGCACTAGATGATAATAGATTTAGGCCAATTGGCATTTAAAAGTTATGGTGGATCTTTGTTGAATTAGGTACAACTTGAATTAGGTACCACAACTTGTGGTATATTGCAATGCATTATACTGAACCATGTATTGTTTTCTTTTATCTTTAGTCAACAATTTGGTTTTTTTAAAAAGATTTATTTTTATGTGTTATGCATTCAGAGCTGGGGTGTAGACCAGAGGTGCTGGGGTGGGTGGTGGAGGGAGGTTGAGAGGATTCACCAGAGATAGAGTGGGGAGTAGAACAGGGGGATCTACTGAAATACACTGCTGAGGGGAGCAGCAGGCGAGACAGGAGAGGTTTGTTGAGCCATGTGAGTCAGCTCCCTTGCTGGAGATTGAATTCATGCTGCAGATAGCTTCACTGTGCTGAGACTTAACCCCTTGCACCACAAGGGAGGCCCCCTAGTCACCAATTTGGATGAGGAATTTTATACTTTGATCAAATTTACAAGTGTCACAAATCCGGAAGGAATAATTTGCACACATCATGACAGACCAAAGTCCAATATAACTCAACAAGCCAATCAAATTGGCTCTAGTTAATATGATGAAATGTAATTAACAATGACTATAAACCCCTATATTTTATTTATTTTTTCATTACAGCATTATTTCTATTTGTTTATTTTATTTATATTTTACATGATTGTTTATTTTTAAACAATGTTTGCTTTTTTTTCCCCCTCAGGTGTAGTCCCCATAGAATTTCCTCCACCAATGCACCTGTGCACCATCACGTCCGTCCTGTGTGAAGGACTCCCTGACTCCCTCCCTCCCTCCCTCTGATGCCTCTCCCTCCCCCTCCCCTGCAGGATGTCTCTGGTTTATAATTGTCTGTTTGTTTTTGTTTTTAAACCCCTGTAGTTTAGTTCAGTAAATCAATAACCCTTAAATATAGAGAGGCAGGTATTATCGTTAACCTGTAGTTCATGTGAAAAAGGCAATTTTCTTCACATGAACAATTTTTAATTGGTTGAACATTCAATAGGACCAAAAAAAATTGATAGAAAGACAAATGCAATTTTCCTTTATCCCCTTCTTCCCAGGCAGATAAAAATTTACTTTATTGAATGATTAACTGTATATTGCCAAGGCCACTATGTACAGATGAGAAAGGGGAGCATTCTTGTCAGACATAATTATCTCCTCCTTGGCCTAGTGCCACGCCTAATGGTATTTCTGTATGTCCTTGATCTTAGACCTGTTGATCTCAGCCTGGTCAACCAGAAGCTGCCTGCTGCCCTTATTGACCTACAGCTTGTGGATGTGTTTCATGAGAATACATTTGTTATTAAACATATTTCCCTCACCTTTAGGTACAGGCTTTGATGCATATGGTAGTAAGTCTTCTGAGATTCACGTTGTCTTCTGAACACTGAGCACTTTACAGCAACTGAGGTGTTTTTCCAGCATTGAGCCCAAAAATGGACAGTCACAGGCTTGCAGATAATCAATCTATTCAATCTAATCAAGCTAATCAATCTTTGGTTAGCTTCCAGATCCACTGATGAGAGTTTTCATTGACTAATAGGTCTCATGAGAGTTTTCATTGACTAATAGGTCTCAACTAGACCTTCTTTTTTTTCCACAGCAGAGGATGCTGGTGGTGAGTCTCTTTGAAACCTCATAGCTATAATTCAGTTTTCAATAAAAATTTTTAGTGACTAGTTCACAGGAGGTAACTAGTCCTTTTGCAACAACACAGTGACTCAAGTTTGCAGAGCCCATTTGTTCAACACACCCTTACCCAGAGTGGCTGATCAGTGTTACCTGGTAATAAAAGTAAGAAATGACTTAAGGAGCTTTTTGTCTAATATTTTTTCATATTTCACCTTACTTGTGGTAAGGTATTGTTGAAACTAATGAAGTGTAGGAAAACTGGACAGAGGAGAAGGTGAGAAAAAAAATAGCAATCCAGTCATCTGCTTATAGTCACACACTTGTTACTAGCAGAGTATGGATTTGTTCTCATTTCTGTTTGACTGCAAAAATCTGTGCCCTTTCTAACATGCTGTTCTTCCCATTGTATTCAAATAAATGCTTTCTCTTTCTGATTTATTAATGTAAGAATATAAAAAGATCTATAAGGATATTATCAGTTCAGTACATTTAGTCACACTATGAATTCTTTTATATTAAAAAAAGGTAGTAAACAACATATAAAATTTGATAAATAGCAAATACTATGTATCATAATAGATATTTGAAATTTGTTGTTTAATTGTCCAGATATGCCTATTTTTTCTAAATATTTTCTTACATGCTGGAACTTTATTACATATAATTCTAGTAAGAGAATGTGAATGACAGCTTTCAAGATGAATATAGTTTTGTGACTGTTTAAAAGATCACTGTATATAAACTTAATGTATTATAAGGAAAATATTAATCATCCACTTTTAGTAAACTCGAGGAAATAGCAATAAGCAGGCATTGTGATTTGATTTTATAATGGATGTGTACAGAAATATATTGGAAAATAAAATCTACAAAGAATAGGTATACATGAGTATTTTAGATTGCATTGTTTCTATGGAGACATAACCATAAATGTCAAAATGTGTATCTAAAGTCATCATAATAATTGCTTCTGTATCTTCAATGGACAGTTGTTGGTTTGTGGTCCATTTAAATGAATGTTTCAATAAAAAATTATGAATAGCATTTTTGAATATTCAGTCTGTCTGCCAAGAAACAACTTGGCCATCTTCCAACGGAAGGGAAATTATGATCTCTCAGAGGAGACTTCAGTGTTTCTATTGTTTGAAATTTTATTGGTAATCATTCTTTTCAAATGAGAGCATATCATTGCATGAATTTTTCTACATTTGTTTCATACACAAACAGCCCTTCACCATCAACAAAACAACAGAAATTAAGAAAAAAAAAACAACTTTTAAATAATGACCTGTAGTCTGGACAACACATTTCTTGGGTGGCAACTCTAAAGTGCTAGAGGTCCTGGCACAGTAGGGAAAAGCGCTTGATATATAGGAAGAAAGTCATGGCTAATTCTTAGAGCAATATGTGCGTGGCTTTGATTTTGGTTTAATGTGACTCTGGGACTAAAAGAAACGTGACTGCTGAACTGACAGCCAACACCAACATGCCTCTCAGCTGGGAGAGGGTCAAGGTGGGTTTAGGTTCAGGTGGCTGGAGAAGGGTAATGAAAGTTTGTTTCTACAATATGTGATGTCATCCTCAAGGAATATGATCTTAAACAAATCCAGTGGAGAAGTATTTTAAAACATTCTTCAGCCTTTTGGTTCCTCCTAGCTTCCTTTCTTCTAAGAAATCTATATTAATAGATGAAATTTGGAGGGCCTCCCTTGTGGCACAGGGATAGCTATCAAGCTATCAAGCAGCCACTGGAGCATGAGTTTGATCCCTGGCCAGGGAGCTAACCCACATGGTGCAGCACACCTCTCCTATCTCACCCACTGCCCCTCTCAGCAGTGTATTTCAGTAGATCTGCCTGTTCTGCATCCCAGTCTCTCTGGTGAATCCTCTCACTTCCCACACCTGTGGCTTACAGCCCAGTTCCTGTATGCATAAATAAATATTTTTAAAAATAGATGAAATTTCATAATTATATTTCTTAAGTCCTCATTAAACAATGTCAACAGGTGCTGGAAACTTCAACTTCAAGCAAAACATGATGAAACCTATTTTACCACAGGGTGATTAACGAAAACAAGAGGTAAGTTCCTACAGCATGTTTCTGGTACAAACAAAATCCCAAACTTCTAAATAAAGACCCCATACACTTCTAATATTAACTAATAATCTGTGTTCATTCATTTCCAACCTGCTTATTCCACTCAGAGTCACAGTGGCCAGAACCTATCCCAGCCCTTCAGGGTACAAGTTGGCACCCAATGCGGGAGGATGCGCTTCTATCACAGTGTCCCATGCTCACTCAGACTGGGACAGCTTAGACGCATCGTGACTCTAACACACATCTTTGGGATGTGGCAGGAAAACAGAGTACCTGGAGAAAACTCTCTCAGGCATGGAAAGAATGTGCCAGCTCCACAAACGCAGTGGCCCTTACTGGGCATCCATTGTTCTTTTCTCATCAATATTGTTATGAAAAGACATGTAACAAAGACCATTTGAGAACCTGCTGTACTTTTATTACCTTCATTCAGATAGCCTGGGGCTGAATAAGAGATTTTTAAATGAATATGTGACATTATGAGCTGTGTCATGCAGTGGTTAAGACTGCGGGTTTGAATCCTTGCTTTGCCACTTTATTCAATTATAGAAGGCACTTTTCTAGGTACTGGGAATGTAACAATAAACACTTGACAAAACAAACACTTCAATAAACACTTCACAAGCTATAGAACATTAACTACTCTCTTACTCAGCTTCTTCCTCATTCCTTATAAAGTACCTGTCTTGGCCATGTTTTAAGTGTTAACAGAGTTGGAATACAAAAGTTGAAACACAGAGTCTAATTTCATAGAAAGTATTTAAGAAATGTTAGCTATTATATTTAAGGGATTTTTAAATATATTTAAGGGGGTGGTTGTCTTATTGGGAAGTATAACACACATGACAGGAGATGGGGAGATTATTCTGAAATATCTGAGTGCATCCATCTAATCAAATGCATCTCTAAATAGAATCTTTCCAGGCAGCGGTTGTTAAACCTATCCACTATTTTTTTTTTTTTTAATTTTAGATACTGAAGTCTCAATGCTAGAATTTTCACTTGAATAGCATTGGTTAATTTCAGCTGACCATATGCTTATCTCCAGAAATATCTACCCTTGGTCAGTACTAAAGATAAAAAAAATTTCCTTAGATAATGCATGAGACATGAATGCTTCTGCTATGAATCTCTAAGGGAAAGTAATTCTATAAAAAAGGCAAACTATAGTATTGAATATGAGTATCCAATTTTATTTTATTTTTTTAAAGATTTATTTATCTATGCATACGTGAGCTGGGGCACAGGCCAGAGGTGCGGGGGTTGAGAGGATTCACCATAGACAGAGTGGGGAACAGAACAGGCAGATTAACTGAAATACACTGCTGAGGAGAGCAGAGGGTAAGTCAGGAGAGGTTGCTGCGCCATGTAGGTATCTCCCTGGCCAGGGATCGAACTCGTGCTGCAGTGGCTGCTGATAGCTTGAAAGGTTGCATCTTAATCCCTTGTGCCACCAGGGAGGCCCTGGATATCCAATTTTATTCTTAACATCATCAGTTAATGTTCATATTACTGAAACTGATCATAGTTGTTCCTTAATAGAAAAGAAGGGGAGTGGGGAAGGGAAAAAATGAAAAATAACAGAGCCCAGAAATAAGAATAGATTCTAAAAGAGAAGAGGAGATGCTACCTAAAGAGAAATTTAACCTCTTTCAATTAATTTGACGTTGCTCTATTAGATAACCAGCCTTGGAAAGAAACTTATAGTTTTAAGATAATATCAATGTGTAAGGCACTGAGCTTAACAGCTAATATAACTTATTTCCTTTTATTCATTTAAAAACACTGAGAAATCTCATTATCTTTACAGGTGAGGAACAGAAGTTCAATGAAGTAACTTAAGAATAGAAGTTTCTGAACACAAAATGAATTGAGTTCAGCATGAGGGGGTGGTGGTATCATTTCCTGAACCAGGTAAGTTTTGAGTTTGATTTTGGATGCAGAAAAGAAGTAAGAATATTTGAACTGGGTAATGTTTCTCCCATGAATCATGAGGAAATTGCCCCGTTGTTGTTTTAGACAGACATTGATCTACATAAACTGTCTGTTGGGGAAAGTGCCTCAGTGTCTAACTTGTAAAGGCCTATTGGATATTTGATAATGTCAAGAATGAAGCTAACTAGTGGTTATTAGGGTTTAAGGTCTCTACCTTGATGCAGGACTATAATTAAAAGCTAGCTTTGAGGGCCTCCCTGGTGGCGCAGGCGGTTGAGCGCCACACTGTGAAGCTGTCCACAGCCTCTGCAGCGCGGGTTTGATCCCAGCCGGCCAGCGAGAACCCCACATGGCACAGCAGACCTCTCCTGTCTCACCCGTTGCTCCCCTCAGCAGTGTATTTCTTCAGTCTCCCTGTTCTCATCCCAGCTCTGTCTCTGTGAATCTTCTCACCCTCCCGCACATCTGGCCTGTGCCCTGGTTCTTGTGTAAATAAATAAATCTTAAAATAAAATAAAGTAAAATAAAATAAAAGCTAGCTTTGAATGGCTCTAGACAAATAAGCCACTTTCTCACACTTATGCTTCTTACACCAGGCCAATGACTTTATCTAGTCTTCAAAGTAAAGAATTCAAAGCTTGCATCATTTTCGATTCAAAATTCTTCTCTGGATCTAAGTTAAACCTTCTTATCAACCTTTACAGAATTTCAATTTCCTAGTTCTTCTTGACCTGTTGATAAACTCCTAAAGAAATCATTACAGCAATCCTTTCCTAACTCTATTCTCTACTATATATTTGAATAAAACCTTCCATTTTATTTCTATGCATCCCTCTACTGCTTTTATATTATTCTCAAATAATAACTCTGTGACTTATTTTTGTCTTCTGAAAAATAGAAGGATTGTTTAATTGTTAATTTCAGATTTTGTCGTAGAGTTTCAAGGAATTAATTCACATGTTAGGGTGTTGGAGGCATGACAAACTGGAGAGGCGTTGCTCAGTCAGAAACTCCCTCTAGCAGAAACAGCCCTGCTTTCTGTTTTGGACTTTCCATAGGATTTCATTTGATGGGATATGATACTAAAACAAATTTCAGTGTTCTTTCAAGCCTAAGTAGACTAAAAAAAATTATGATTCTATAACCTTAATTATAATGGAGGGAAGGAATGTTTCATCTATTTATATTTTGCATATTTTTAGAGACTTAGAAATAGGTGTGTTTCTAAGAGACTTAGGAACTAGATACGTGGATTACACATGTGGCTTGATTGAACGTAGAAGTAGGACTTGATCCTGGCAGAGGAGCCCTTCGGCATGTATTTCTTTCTCATGAAATCTTTATAGTCACTCCATGGGTGCTAGAAAAAGGACTCATGTAATTATTTTGCCTGGCACTGTTGCCCCTGCTAATTTGACAGTAGTAGTTGCACCCAGGAGTACAGTGTGACCAGAGTGCTTTCCTTCTAATCCAGCTTCTTTCATTCTGGCTGGGATTATGACAGAGCAAAACAGAAATTTCACTATCTCTTAGGTCACAACTTCAAAGCTATTTCAATTCCTGGAAATGCCCAACACTGACAGGATCACCAGGAGAGATACAGTATGTGCTCTCTTGTCAGCTTCTGTGCTGTGGATGACAGTCCAGTGTTCCTTTAGTGACTGTATAGCTCACAAGAATCCTCTTTGCAAGAGGTGCTGACTTAAAACCTAGGGAGGACACATACTGGGTGCTATATACTACAGGTTGTATACAAATCAAAGGGTGGGATGGAGCAGAGTGATTCATTAAATACTCTATCTTGAGCTCCTAAGAAGAAAAGATTTATAAGTTTCAAATTGTTATTGTTAGCATTACTATGGTAATCATCCAAATGCATTCTGTATGCTATTTCTTTTTCTTTTTTTTCTTTAAAAAATTTTTTTTAAGATTTAATTTTATTTATTTATACAAACAGTGGGTACAGTCAGAAGTGCGAGAGGGTGAGAGAATTCACCAGAGCCAGAGCAGGGAGCAGAGCAGGCAGAAGGACCGAAGTACACTGCTGAGGGGAGCAGCCGGCGGCAGGAGAGGCCTGCGCGCCATGTGGGATCGCCATGTGGGATCCTCCTCCGGTGGCCGGGGAGCAGCCTGGGATCGAACCAGCACTGCAGAGGCTGCGGGCAGCTTCACAACCCAGTGCTCAACTGCTGCGCCACCAGGGAGGCCCCTGGATGCTATTTCTTAAGCTGGAAAAGGAATGGCATTGCATCTACCTGAGCTCCCCTATCCAGTTGCCCACAGCCTCGCTTTTCACATTCTGTCCCCTGCCCTGCTTGCTGAGTAATCTATTTCAAATGTAAATCTGATCATCTCACCTTCTGCCTCAATGCCTTCAATGGATTTCCACTGATTTCTGAATAAAATTAAAGTGCTTTCACAGAGCATATGCAGACTAGCCTCCTGCTCCATTCTCCATCCTGCACCTTTGGCTGAATGGCACTGCATTTCATTGTCACTCTAGTTGAGGGTCAAAACATGAAGTTTTAGCTTGGTTAAGTCTTAGCCTGGTAGAATATCAAAGATATTTTCTTTTTTTATATACAGTCCTGTGTTTCTCAATGGTGATTTTCAAGTCTCCCTGGAAAAAAAATCAATGAACAACTTGATTAAAAGTAATGTTTGGGAGCCCAGCAAGATGGTGGCAGAGTGAAGGCACCAGGCTCTTCTCCTCTAAACAAAAACAACAAAAATGATGCAAAACAAAGGCAAAGAAGAGTGACTGCCTTGCATCGTCCCCTATAGCTACTGACTTGGGTGCACTGCAACATTGTGGCTGCTAAGACCCTGCACTGCCTGGACAAGGAGATGCATGAACAAGCAGCTAGAATAAAGGGTGCATTATGGGAGAGCTATAGACAGACAGAACTGATACTACTGGCTTGAATCTGAGGCTTAGGACACAGAATAGCTGTACCCTGAATCGGGTCAGTGTGCCTGAACTTCCTTATAGAAGAGACTACTACTGCAGTCCAGGTTGAGATATTTGAAAAACCTGCCACCTTCACCCCAGGCTGAGATATCTAAAGCGCTTGTTACCCTGCACAAGGAAACATCATAAAGAGGAATTTCAAATTATTGAGTCTATCAGAGGTGCTCTGTTCCTCTTTTAAATCTACTAGTACCCCACTACTCCAACAACTACAAAACAGCTATGGAAAAATTTATCCTTACTAAAACACGTACAAAATAAAAAACGAAGAGACGAAGAACACAATACAAATGCCAGAACAACAACAACAACAAAAAACCCTGAAAGGATTCTTGGCTCAGTGGATTTATGGAGCATGACAGAGGGGAATTCAAGGCAATAGTACTGGCCATGCTGATGGAACTTAAAAAGAAAAAAAAAGGTTATAAAACAGAATAAAGGGCCTCCCTGGTGGCGCAGCGGTTGAGCGCTGGGTTGCGAAGCTGCCTGCAGCCTCTGCGGCGCTGGTTCGATCCCCGGTTGCTCCCCGGCCACCGGAGGAGGGTCCCGCATGGCGCGCAGACCTCTCCTGCCGCCCGCTGCTCCCCTCAGCAGTGTACTTCGTCAGTCTGCCTGTTCTACTCTCCCCTCTGGCTCTGGTGAATTCTCTCACCCTCCCGCGCTTCTGACTGTACCTAGTGCTTGTATAAATAAATAAATAAATCTTTAAAAAAAAAAAACAGAATAAAGTAATGAAAATATGAGGCAGCTACATATGGAGTTAGGAAGCATTATAGTTGATGTTAAAAATACAATTAAGGACCTTAAGAGCAGACAAACAGAAGCAATGTAGAAAATTAATGAACTTGAAAACACAGTACTGGGGGGAAAAAAGGAATAGAGAAAATGTAGCGAATAAAGAATGTTGCCTCATTAAAAATACAGAATCAATTAATCGACTGTATAAAAAGATGAAACTGCCACTTGCAACAGCACAGATATATCTAACGGGTGTTATGTCTAGTGAAATAAGTCAGAGAAGACAAATACTATGATTTCATATGTGGAAGGTAAAGAAACAAAACTAGTGAAGAAAAAAAACAAATCACTAGACTATAACAACAAAATAGTGGCTACCAGAATGGAAGGGGGGGAGTAGGTAAATTGGGGAGAAGGGGTCAATTGCATGGTGAAGAATGGAAACTAGACTTTTGGAGGTGAACATGTTGTGCTATGAACAGATGTTGGTATGCTGTATGCCCGAAACCAAAGTTACTCAAAATTTTAGTTGAAGATTCACCAGTTCTTCATAGCCTCAAAGCAGACATCTAAATCAAAATCCCAAATTAGTTCTATATACTGATTTGAAAATCATTGCATATGGACTCTTCAAATAGAAAATGTAGAAGGTGAGTGCCCTCTAGTGAACACACTCACACATGTCACATATTTGTTGGTGTAGCAGAACTTTTTTCTGCTCCTTTGTAAGAGCTCTATTTCCTGATGTGCAAATTTAAAGGCTGTATTTGAATAATACTTCCATGTCAGTGAGGAAACCAAAAAATAGAACTCTCATCTGACCTCAGCAGCTCCTGGACATTCATTTTAGATAATGGAAGACTGTATCCCAACACACCTGGTTGTTAGGAATGAGGCTTACTTTCTCAGAGTGTAATAAGTGCTAATGGGAAACACCAAATCCATTCTGGGCAAAAGGCATATTCTACTCATCCTATTTGTGTTGGTTTCATTACCTCATTACAGTTTTCTTCAGTAAACCCATTCAGTTTATTCCCTCAGAAGGAAGTAAGACTTAGGGCCTTCCGTTTTGTTTTTATTTTTTTCTTGTCCACTTGAAAGTTGAAAGGAAGATGAATCCATTATGGATTTAATATGATCTGTATAAATACCCCATTACTTTTAACCCATATGGGTTAACAATAACCTATGTGAGGTTATTGTTTATTTCCAAACAGGAAAGCATACATGTGTTTATTAGGTTACAGTTAAATTTCTATAATAGAAGACCCCAAAATATAGTAGCTGAATTGTGATTGAGGTTTACTCTTCCTGATACAACTGGCCAGTGATTTTAGTACAGGGCATATAGTGTAGCTCTGACATCCACACTCAACATATAGATTCCTTTTCTGGGCTCAAAGTAGCTGCTCCACTACCTACTCTCACATGTGTATCCCAGTTGGTGTAGAAGAGGTTAGTGAAGAACCCATTCATTATTTTAAACAACAAATGAAAAAGTGGCATACAACAGTCTTGCTCATGTCCCACTGCCCATAATTTGATCGAAATTTTCAAAAAAGGATGGGAATGTGGTCTTTAGTGAAAGAATCGAAGGTCCCACTAAAACCTTGAGTGCTGTTATTAAAAGAAGATAGGGAAAATGGATTTTTGGTGGACAACTGTCTTTGCCACAGACCATTTCTGATATTTCCATTTTTTATATGATTCTTTAAGTAGGCAGTTATTCACAGAATATAGGCCAAAAAAGTAACAGATATTTCAGTAATTCCAGTTAATGAAATAATGGCATTTTTACTTGAAAGCCTTTTTTCTTCACTTCATGGTCTTCCCTTAGTAGGAACTTCTTAATTTTAAAACTAGACACCTAGACAATCAGTTTAAAAGTTAGTACAGGCAGTCCTTGCAATGTATGTTTTCAATATGCACAAGTTTCAGTAGTGGCCATGGTTTAGTTAACTATCACCATTTCCCCAATAACGCAGTTCAAATTTCAATTACCATACGATATAACTGTGGATTGCAGCATACAGTTTTGTACTAGCCCTTCATTTCCACAAGTCATGACATAAATAACAGCTGCACATACTGTTCAATCACTAATCATGTTACCTTTTTTCAGTCTGTTGGAAATTCATCACTGCATGTCTGTATTCCTTTTATGCACAGAGAGCAAAATGTGTAGTTATGGTATTCTCAGAATGAGAGCAATAATGAAGGGGGATTCTTACAGAAAAATGGGCCAGGGAGTTTCCTCTTCATTATTGAGCTTAATTTATTATCCCCAGGCCCAGTGAAAACCCTATCATGGGTTTCCAACAGAGGGAAACAACCCTTCAAAAGTGATATCTCTTATCTTCCCTTTCCGCCTCGAATTCAGCCCACCAGCCAAAATACACTATGGCTAAAACCACTGGTAGTTATTTTACTTTGCAATTCATGAAGTAAATTTAATCTGCCAGACATTCAAGCCTACCCACCTGCTAATATTGTGTCCCTGTCTGAGAGTTGCCGGATGCAGCAATGGATAGACAAGACACTGCCTTGAGCAACTAACTGGTCTTATCCATCCCAAGTTTCATCGCTGCATCTAGTCACTAGGAAAGAATTGTGGAGACAATACCAGTAACTTACATTACTATTTACTACTAGAAATTAAAATCAACCTGGACTCTTCAGGGGATAAATTAGCACATGACAACTGTTCTTATACTTTTATACGCAAACAACAGAAACTGTGAGATGGTTACAGGAACAAAATCTAGTATCTTTCTTCAGATTATATGTTTTGGAGGGACAGGGAGGGAGGGAAGAAGGAGGGAGAAAGTGACCATTTACCAGCTTAATTTAAAGTTGTTGCAAATATGAAAAGTGAGCAATATTTGGCAGCACCCTAAGTTGTAGAATATGTATTTTTAAATTTTTTATTCCTCAATAATCCAAATAGAGCAGGTCATGAATTCTATGCTGGTTTAGTAAATTTCAACGCTTATCCTATTTGGAAAAAAATCAGGTGGGTACTGGGCCTCCCTGGTGGCTCAAGGGGTTAAGGCACTGCCTTATGAATCAATCCGCAGCCTCTGCATCACAAGTTCATCCCTGGCCAGGGAGCAACACACATGGCGAGGCAGACCTCTCCCATCTCGCCCGCTGCTTCCCCTCAGCACTGTATTTCAGTCAATCTGCCTGCTCTGTTCCCCACTCTGTCTCTGGTGAATCCTCTCATCCCCCTCATCTCTGGCCTGCACCTCAGCTCTTGTATGCATAAATAAATAAATCTCAAAAAAAATAAAGTGGGTACCGTAGGAGCAAGGCCAGGGCAGAATTTAAGGACAGAACTGTTATATGGACTTGCGCCCAGCAAGTTTTTTCCTAGGCTTTTTCTGGGAGTCCTTTACTAGTTGGTTTTGTTTGTTTGTTTGTTTGTTTTGTTTTTTTTTTTTTAGAAACTGGACCACAGGTAACGAGTTCCCCAGGCTCCACACCCCCACCAATTCAGACAAACTTTAGAAGCTTTAGAAAACTAGAACCGGAGTGAAAGGGGTCTTCAGCAGATAAGAGGCCAGAATCTGTAAGTAAAAGCTAATTCAGCCCACCAGCCAAAATACACTATGGCTAAAACCACTGGTAGTCGGAAGCAAGGTCACTGGCCACATTCCGGACCTGTCAGTTCCAAGCCTCGCTGCCCTGCTTCTCCCTGCGGTTCCCCGAAAGGCAGACTCCAGGTCGTACGTGACGAGAAAGCCTCTCTTATCGCTGTTTTCGTTTTCACAGCCCTCTTGCCCCCAAGGGCCGGGTTCTCTGGCTGCCGGACCCGCCCTTCTGCGCACGGCAGATTCCCTATCTCCGGGCCGCACCCCTGCAGGCGGGGCCGTCCGGGACTACAGCTCCCAGCATCCCCCGCCGGCCGCCTCCGCGGGGAGCCCCGACCCGGTAGTGGCTCTTCCCCGCCGAAGTCCCCTCCTCGGGGCTCTCGCTGACTCCGGAGCCCCGGGGGGCTGAGGCTGGGCTCGGGGCGCGGCGCGGCCGGCGGTGACAGCGCGGAGCATGGCGTGGCGCCTGGGCAGGCTGGGCGCGGGGCCGTGCTGGCGGGCGGCGCGGGGCGGCTGCGGGGAGCTGCGCGCTGGGTCCGTGCGCTCCGCGGCCGCGCGCCTCTGCCCGCCGCCTGGCACCGCGCGCTCGGGGCAGAGCCGCGGGCTGGCGCACGGCCCCACCGCGGGAGGCGGCCCCCGGCTGCGGGCCGGGCTGGCGGCGGCGCTGGCGGGGCTGGCCGGGCTGGCCGCCTCCGCCTTCGGGCACGCGCAGCGGGCTGAGATGGTGCCGAAGAGCTCCGGGGCGCGGGGCCCCTCGCCGGGGAGGTCGGAGGACGAAGACGAGTTGTCCCGCCGCTGCCGCCGCTTCATGGCCTCGCCGGTGACCGACCTGCGCGAGCTGCGGGGGAGGCCGGGCGACATGAAGACCAAGATGGAGCTGCTGATCCTGGAGACTCAGGCCCAGGTGTGCCAAGCGCTGGCACAGGTAGACGGGGGCTCCCGCTTCTCTGTGGACCGATGGGAGAGGAAGGAAGGTAGGAGGCCGGCCTCTAGCGGGAGGTTGAAAGGGGGCCGGGGATGTGGGACTTCAGAGTGCTGGCAGAAAATGACTAATTAGGGGGATGCGGTAAGAAAGGGGTGTCCCGCAAAGCTACTGCTTGGTTAGAAGGGACATCGTTTAAAAAAAAAAAAAAAAATTGACACTGCTTGCCCTCTGCTGGCAGGTGTTCGACCGAAGTCCACTGTCATTGTACTACTATGCACTTAAAAATCTTTGCAGTTTTATAAAGGCTTCTTTGGTCTTTGGGTTATTTCCAGCCAACAAACTTATGTGTCCAAAGTTGTCATTAAGCATAGATTTCCTCCACATTTCGTCTGATTCTTTGGGTGTGTTTACCTTTTTTGCTCCTGCAAACTTGGAAAGAACTCACTAATTATGTCATACTCTCCCCACTTTGTTTTTCCAAATTGCACAAGAGGTACTTGATTGACTTGTCAGTGGTTTTACTAAATGCACCCGTTAGATTTCCTACTAGGAAAATTATTCTTTCCAATAACACAATATTTCAGTATTAAAACCTATTTCTAGAGTCATGGATTCATTACCATGTTATTGCCTAATCTGAGTCATAAATTTAAAGGATTCCTAACGTTTCTTAGCTAACGTTTCTTAGCTAAGAATACTGCAGCATTTTCTCACCAGCATATTTTGAGCTGTGATACTGCCACCTCCATAGCAAATGAAGGTATATCTGGATTTCATCTTGTAATGTTTCAAGTGAGGACTGAGGTATGACCTCAAGTTCCTAGAAGGTCTATGTGACCTTAAAGAAGTTTCTTAACATTTGGTGCCTGTTTCCTCTTTTATGAAATGAGATTGGAAATGATACATGAGTATATTGATATGATAATAATATTCATGAGATGAATATATGTGAAGTGTCGTTAAAATATTGTCTGATGCGTAGAAAGTAGACAAATTGTTTGGGCTCTTTCCAGCTGTTCATTCTTGAATTAGGCATTTTACCTCTCCGTGCCTCAGTTTTCTCATTGGAAATATACAAGACTGTTGTCTTATGTTCCACCTAGCTTAAATAGCCTAAAAAACAAAACCAGCCAAATATAAACAAACCTACATGATACAATTGCCCTGTGGTAATTCCAGTATATTACGAACAACCTCACTTACTAATAGTAAATCTCATATGTTAATATCACTCAGTTTAAGGTTCTGAATCTCTTAAGTGTTCAGATTTCTACTTTTTTAAATTGCCTGTAAGGAAAGTTAAAACACTCATAGCATACTGAACAAATGCAATTATGAAACATTTAAATTCATTAATAATAGGATTCTTCAAATTGAGCCATTCCTGTTTTCAACTTTAGCTTTCTCTCCTATAACAAATGCATGCCATTCTGAATGGCAGTTTTGAAGGGAAAATATTCCAGTAACTTTAGATGATAGTATAAGACCGTAGAAGAAATAGTCAGTTTGGTGATGTGCGGAGGTATATTCATGCACTATCAGTAGCTCAGGTTATAAAGCTAAGCAAATTATCTAATTTTATTGTATTAAAAATTATAAAGACACTGATAGAAGGTCTGGAAAATAACTCTTTATTTCTACCACATGGGTGCAAGGGTCATTTTCAGTTTTGTATCTCCCTTTACAGTCTCTCCTCATTTCATATTTACGTAAACAGGAGGTGGAGGCATCAGCTGTGTACTCCAAGATGGACATGTTTTTGAAAAGGCTGGGGTGAGCATTTCTGTCGTTCATGGAAATCTTTCTGAGGAAGCAGCAAAACAAATGAGAAGCAGAGGGAAAATTCTGAAGACTAAAGATGGTAAATCAGATCATCTCAACAGCCTTTTATATTTTATAGTCTTTACAATCCTTTTTTTCCCCAGAGGGTGGCATATGCCAGATAAGCTTGCAAACAATTACTTGTTAAAGATTCTCCTTTAAGAGACTAAAAACAGCCTTGGAAACTTGATCTAGAAACCTCCTGAAGTTAATTTGATTCATGCCAGGTGATGGAATGCAATCACTCTGTGTTTTCTTTCCAGGTAAATTACCATTTTGTGCTATGGGTGTGAGCTCTGTTATCCACCCGAAGAACCCTCATGCTCCTACTATCCATTTCAACTACAGATACTTTGAAGTAGAAGAAGCTGATGGTAAGGATCTCTAAATCTAAAATCAAGAAAGAATAAATAACAATCTTTACTAGGATTTTCAGGAGACCTGTGAAGGCTTCTTCCTTGGCAAATGCAATAGAATATGCTGTACGTGTGAAAAGTGAAGATATTACCTGGATTCTGATCTCTCCATATTTCCTTCAACAAAGAATGTTTGCATGAACCCAAACTTAGAGTACACACAGGGTACTTTAGAAATATAAATTCATTACATCCAAAGGAAAACCTTAGGTGCAAGGTTAATTTGAAATCAAAAGTTTTCTTTTAGAAAATATCTTCCACATAGCTTTGCTAATCACCAGTGCATTTTGAGCAGGTTTATAGTAGAGTGCAGTTATGCCTCAGAGTATACATGGAGTTCCAGCCTGTGTCTCCCATTAGCTATGCCAACTGCTGCCACCTGTCAGAAAACCTGCTCAGTGTCACAGCTACTTTTGTTGTTTAATGCTACAGGTGATAGCATTAAAGTCAGTATATTTAACTGTTCATTGTGAAGCCAGTTTGGTCCAACCTTATAATGCTTAAAAGTCCATAGCTGGTACTGGTGACATGTAGATCTGATTAAGCACGTGGAATAATTAATCTCAAATGACAAGTTGTCTTCCCCAGCAAATGTTTCAATCCTCTTGGGAGGAAAGGGATGAGGGTGGCAGATGTTGTTAACACAGGGAGCGGTAGAATCTCCTGAGTTTTTAATGAACTATGAATGCCTACGTAGACCAAAGATTTTTCTGTTTAGGATCTGGTGAAACATTTTAAGGTTCTCATGTGATCCTAATATTCAGCCAGAGCTGAGATCCTTCTGTGTTGTTTTTGATCCTTCTCTTCCATATATATCATTTCCTAGCCTGATTCTGCTCTCTCACTTTTTAATTTCCTTCCCTTTTTCCTGTTTTTACTTCTTCTTTCCTGCCAACACCTTCTAACCATTCAGAGCTATATTTAGTTCAGTGTTTTTTGATTGTCACCCATTTCATGCTTAATAAACTAAGCTGATAACATTAAGTCTGCTAACATAATAGTAGTGTGCTGTATTTCATGTAAAGTTTGCATCAGCATTTTGTGTTTTAATTTGGCAGGTAATAAGCAGTGGTGGTTTGGTGGTGGATGTGACCTTACTCCAACATACTTGAACAAAGAGGACGCTGTCCATTTTCACAGAACTCTAAAGGAGGCTTGTGACAAGCATGGTCCAGATCTTTACCCCAAATTTAAAAAATGGTAGGCAAAAGAATTGAACTTGCTAAGACCCCTGTCATATATTCCCTATAGGCAATATAGTACTATGTCACTAAATACCTTTCTTTTCAGCTTGTGAAGGTTCAACTGTCTCCTTTATACTTTAGAAGAAGTAAATACTGGTTTTAATAAGCTATTGCCATAGGAGTACAGTTAGTTCTCAATATCATCAATAGGTTCTTGGGAACTGCAGCTTTAAAACAAGAGACATATAACAAAAGAAGTTCCTCAAATAACATCATTTTGTTCAATATCATCAATGTTATAACAAAGCAAATGATATTATTTGAGCATGTGCTGTATTTGTCTGTAAGAAATTGAATACTCGCCTCTTTATTGACCCCAAATAATCTAGAATGGTAGAATACCAATCCTAATGTGTAATCTATTCTTGAGAATCAGAGACTTTTTAGTTCTAAGGTGAAATACTGATTTCTTATCCCAGAAGAGAATTATCGTCTCAATGTTGCCATGGGAATGATTTAGGATTTAAGAATAGATGGAAAACTATTAGGGAGACATGAAAATGTATCAAAGATTTTGGTCAAGGAGAAAAGTACAGTTGAAAACTTTGTTAGGTAAAGAAACTGTAGTGATAAAAGAAAAACATTATGAGACCCAGGATATTTGGTAGTTGTGAAAAGGAATCTAGGCATACATTGCTTGGAGTAAGAACATCTTAGAGCTAATTGCAGTTCTTGAAAAAGGAAGAACAGAATGGCTTTAGTTTTTTGCTTTGCTTTTAAAAGTAACGGTTGTGGAATCTTGATGTCATTTATGGGAAGGCATGGAGTTCAACTTTTAAATCCTCAGAAGAGATAAGACATTTGGTTGTTCTTTTGATTTGTCATGACCACTCAACAATGCATAGTTGTGAACTCAGATGTAAGGTTCAAGTCTTCTTTTTTTTCCTCATATATGCATGCGCATCCTTCCAGGTGGAGGACTGGTGGTGGAGACATTGCCTTGTTTTTGGTGTCCTTTTGTTGCTGTTACTGAGATGACTTTAAATAATACTAATTAGTAAAATAACGGGGATCTGTTAAACTAGTTAAAAATAAGGTTTTAGTACAAATATTTAGTAAATCTCAATCTCATGAAGAGAGATTTAGTATTATGATTTTGTTAAAGCTGACTTCATAACCTTGCTCAGTAGAGAGTTCAACTCTGTTAATAAAATATGTGTGTAAAGGAACCCCGACAAGTCCCAAGATGAATTACACACCCATTTATCAGTTCTAGGGATTTGCATCTGCTGCCTGTTTTGTCCTACTTGAATTTAAACTACTAAGACTATTTTTTTTAGGTAATCTTTTAGGTAACTTAGATTTTGTTTGTATAGGTTTTTCTCTTTAAGGACCTTATTCTATAGAGATTATCAAAAGGACAATTTCCACAACATAAACCTCAAATTTAGCACTTAGGAAATGACTTCTTAGAAAAACCTCTAAGAGGCACACAGGTCCATATCCAAGAGCAGACTGATAGTTCATGTGCCAGCTCTCAAGAGTATCAGTTAACATGTCTGAAGACCCCTCTCTCAGATATGCATGTGATAGAATCAGCACATTTTATTGCTGAAAGAGACCTTAGAGTTTCTTTACCTCCTTTAGTGAATAACCAGCCCAGAGAGATCAGGGATTGGCACCTGTCATGGACTTGGTGGTGTAACCGTCACTGGAGCTGTCCTGTCCTGCCTCCTGCAATAGTAGTGCTTCTGAGGGTAGCCGTGTCCCTTGGTTCAAGAAATACAGGATTGCCTTTCTTTTTCACCAACGTTCCCAAAGTTCCCTGTTCTTTAGATAATATGTTGAAATTGCATAGATGCTCTGCAATATTACTGCAGGAAATCTGTCTAGAGTCTTGGTTTCATTTTCACAGACACAAAGTAAGGTCACAACTGGCATTAGTCAAAGATAGTACTGTAAACTGAACCGCTCACTGGGCACAGGGGTTAAGTCTCAGCACTATCAGACTATTGCCAGCCACTGCAGCATGAGTTAGATCCGCGGCTAGGGAACTAACCCACATGGCACAACTGATTGTCTCCTGTCTCGCCCACTGCTCCACTTAGCAGTGTATTTCAGTAAAATCTGTCTGTTCTGCTCCCTGCTCTGTCTCTCTGTCTCTGGTGAATTCTCTAACACCCCCTCCCCCCAGTTCTCATATGCATAAATAAAAATAAATCTTTAATAAATAAATTGAACCATTCCTCCATTTATTTTCACCTATATTTTTATCCCCCTCTGGATCCCTGATTCGGCCTTGCTGTGTTTTCCAGGTGTGATGAGTACTTTTTTATAGCTCATCGTGGAGAGCGGAGAGGCATTGGGGGCATCTTCTTTGATGACCTTGACTCCCCATCCAAGGAGGAGGTGTTTCGCTTTGTGCAGAGCTGTGCCCAAGCTGTGGTTCCTTCTTACATTCCCCTTGTGAAAAAGCACTGTAATGACTCATTCACTCCCCAGGAAAAGTTGTGGCAGCAACTCCGGAGAGGACGGTAAGTGACAGAATAACCCGTCTCACTGCATAACTGTGGGGGAAGTGCAGCAGCTATAACAGTTGTGGGTGGTGTATTGTCTTAGGTATGTTGTCATTGTTGTGTTAGTATTCACCCTAATTTCTTTTCATAACTAGATGAATGTCAAAACATCGTACAGTAGTATGATAAAAAGAACAAAGTTTGTCTATATGTTAGACAAACATGGTTAGGTTTTTAGTAAATACTTGCTGAATTTTATTCAGCTGATTTCTTTTAGTCTTCTAGCAGTGTTCTTCAAGCTTATGTCAAGGTAAGGGCATCATTTTTTTTTTTTTTTGCTCTGTTGTAAATATGGATACATCTTTTTTCATTCATCTGAAACATTTCCTGAAATTCATTATAATGGAAATAGCCATTTCAGAAATTATTTACACTTAATGATAATATTTACTTACAGAATCCTTACTATGTGCTTGCCAGTATATTAGGCAGTTTGCATATAATTTTTTCCACAATCCTCTGAGATTGGTGTAATTATTTTATAGGTGATAAAACTTATTCTTAGAAAGGTAAGTCCCTTGCCCAAGATTACACAATTGGTAAATAAAAGATCTCAGATGTGAATCCAGGTCTTTATGACTTCAAAACTTAGTTTTTCCTTTACATGAAGGAAGTTAAGTAGTTGGAGCAGGTTTATTTCTTGCCATGATACTTGCCTTAGCCACCCTGCTCTGTGCATGGAGCTTGGTGAGCTCAGTTACGTGAGTAGTAGCCTGATGTCTACAGCTAGGGTGTGCTAGTGACTTAGCTCCAAAATGCCCACTCTACTGGCTCACATCAGTTTTTCACTTATCACTGTCTTAATTGCCTGTATACCACAGGCTGTGAAATGGGTTTTCTCGTTTATGTTAATCCTGTGTCAGGTATATGAAGCTTTGGGCACTTAAAGAGATAAATACTGGCCCTAAAAGATCTACTTAAAATAATGTTTCAAGTCTGAAGATTAATGTTTGTGTTTATCTTTTCTTATGATTGTCTATCATTTAAAAACTTGGAAATGAGACGTGATTAAGTTTTCTTGCTAGAAATTTCTTAGACAAGGCATCTGTTTTGGGGCCTTTTTATGTCTTTTTTTTTTTTTTTTTTTTTTTTGTTCTGATTTCTCAAATATATCTTTGCCATTCGTTCTATCTTTCTCTTGACATTTATTGTGTGTCCCTTTAACTTGGCACTGTGCTAGCTCTAAAAGTGAGCTGAAAAGACATACCTAAGAGGAGAATTTAAAACTCTACGGCAAGTACTGTAGTAGTCTAGTTTTCGCTTAAGAATTTATATACAAACCTGAAAAGTTTAATGAATACTAATTAGGTGAAGCCTTTAAAACTTAGATGTTAGAATAATGTTTTATTTTGTTTTTATATAATTTAACAATAAAACTTTTTAAATCAAATTTTATTGATAACTGTCCATTTACCAAGAAGACATTTTGAAAGTTCCAAATGTGTCTGTCATTGCCTGCCAGGTGTCTTTGGAGTTAGCAGCATGTGGGCTGTTAGATTAATTTTCTGTAAATGGTGTGTGAGTGTTGTTCAAAGTGAGCCTCCCACTGCCATGCTTATCGCTAGGCTTTAGGATAGCAATAAACTCTGGGCCTTACGATAATCCAGCTCTTTACTGTAGTTATTCACACTGTCTCACTTTCTTATGCAGCATTCCTAAGCCCTTATCAGTATCCTTCACGGGTTACTCTTCCCCTCACTACCCTTCCCCCGCCAACACTCATAATATAAGTTTCCTTCTAGTGGTCAGTCACTTTCCCTTTTAATTTTAAAATATCTTATTTGGTAATCTCATTTCAGCTCTTGCTCTCAGTTATAGTGCTTTCTCCGGTTTTCTTTTTCTATTGAACAGGTACTAATGATCTTATTGTTTTGTTGTATTTTGGCAAAGGAAAACAGGATGAAATTTAGTCAGGAGTACTTTTTTAAAAATAGCTGAATTGTATTCCATTGTGTATGTATACCACATTTTTTTAATCCACTCATCTACTGTTGGGCACTTGGGTTGTTTCCATAACTTGGCTATTCTAAACAATGCCGCAAGAAACATAGGAGGGTGCATTTCCCTTGAATTAGTGGTCTTGTATTCTTCAAATTTTTCTTAGTTGTTGTTTTACCTTAGAGTTCTCAGCTTTGTGTGCATTCTATTTATTGGAAAACATAGCCTTCTTGTTTTGCAACTGTTCTATGCTGGGGCTGAATCTATATGCTATTGTTTATTGGATAGAATACCCTTTTATCTCTCCTGTCCAGTTGGAGAAAGCTTGTTGACTGTTCACTGTGCCAGTTCCAGCTGATGGGGGACAGGAGGAAGCCCCCCCTTTAAGTATTTGTTGTGGGTTCATCTTAAGCAGGATTTTTATTCAGCTGACCAAATTAATATTATTTGATGTCTTTATGCCAGGTATGTGGAATTTAATCTGCTGTATGATCGGGGCACCAAGTTTGGTCTTTTCACTCCAGGATCCAGGATTGAAAGCATCTTAATGTCTTTACCTCTAACTGCCCGGTAAGAAAATATCATTATATAATTATCCCCCCACCCTCAGACCACTAACCCCTCAAAACATGAACATGAATGTCAACTTTATTTTAACTTAAAGATCTCATTGATATTGACTTTGCTGATTTTATAAGAAAATCACAGTGAAGTAATTAAGGAAAAAAAAACTGAGTTTTTTTAAGGTATGCCAGGATGAGTGTGTGAAAACAGGGAAAGAGTAGAGGGAGTAAGAAGAAAGCAGGGGCTGACAGAGTCTCAGCTTCAAATGGACTTCTCCTATTGGGTAACTATCTAGGAAGAACTGTGGGCAAAGCAAATTTATTGGAACATAACAGTTTTTAAAACCTCATCTTATTAAAAATTACTGCATTGGTGAGGAAATGGGTTACTCTCTAGTATGAAGTACTAACTTTATTTGTAAGTTCGACAATATGAGAGATCATTTTGGGTGCTTGGTAGTCTCTCTGTGCTTTATATGTTGCTTCCATAAAGGCTAATTGAATATGTGAGGGGAATTTTAAAGCCACCTGTATTTATGTTGTTGCCATTAGGTTAATGCTGTAAGGACGTAGGTTGACTTTTTTGGCAATAAGAAAGTGAGAATGATGTGCATACAAATTGAAAACTTACCTTTGTTTTACAAAGGCAAAAATTTTCTTTTTTCTGTGAGTTTAAATGTCCAAATAAAAATGGACGAGCAGATGGAATGAGAGGTCCCCTACATCCTACTCTCTCTCTAACATTGTGAAATTAGTGCCCTCAGTGGTTGTCAGTGTCTTCAGAATGGGATTGGCTTGTTTTGGGATCTCATCTCCTTGAATAGAAGCTCCCACTTTTGCATTCCTGCTATCTAGAGGTGAGAGAGGTGAGATATGAATAAAGAAGAGTTCTTCAGGCCTCTGGTAGCTTTCTAGATGTCTGCTGAGCCCTAATTATAATGAATACTCCAAGCTGCTGCTGAGGGTGGATTGCAAACTAGTCCTTTTGTTCAGTTGAATAGTATTAAGATAGGCCACTTCTGCTTCTCATTAGACATTGGGATCTGCAGATTTTAGGCTGCAGATCTAATCCAAGTCCACCTGTGGTCTGTTTTTGAATAGCCTTTGAGCTAATGGTTTTATATTTTTAAAAAATTATTATTTGAATTTATATACTATCTGAGATAGCTTTTATTTAAAATTTATACTTTTTTTTCCACAAAGAATTTATTTAAAAAGTCAATATTATGTTTTGTTTTTTTTTAATTAAGGTAAGCTTGGTTTATACTGTATTTGTTTTAGGAGTACAGATTCACACCTCTTCAGATTTATTACTACACCCACTGCCAAAGTACCCATAACCTTCCAACACATCCATTGTACCCCCAACCTTGTGTTCCCCTCCCCCATCCTTGCCCTTCCCTCCACCCCACCCCAGTTCAGCAGTCATAATCAAAGGGAATGTTTTGGTTTGCAGAACAATATTATTGTCATAAATAGAAAGTAGCACATTAAAATAAATGCTTGAGTATTAATTAAAAATGTTTGCCCTCAGATCATCTGAGTTTCTAATTCTAATCTTTACTAAGGTCTGGTTCATAGAAAAAGTGTATTTTGGCTCTGGGATATTAATATTAGCCAAAGTATGCCCAAAGCCGTATAAGATATATATATATATAATATATATAATTTTTATATCATAATATATATTATTTTAACATATATATAATATATGTATTATTTTTAAGATTTATTTTATTTATTTATGCATACAAGAACTGGAGTCCAGGCCAGAGGTGTGAGGGGGGTGAGAGGATTCACCAAAGACAGAGTGAGGAACAGAGCAGTTATATCCACCAAAACATACTGCTAAGGGGAGCGGCGGGTGAGATAGGAAAGGTCTGCTGTGCTATATGGGTAGCTCCCTGGCCAGGGATCAAACTCAGGCTGTAGTGGTGGTAGTGCTGATACTTAACCCTTAGACCACCAGGGAGGCCCTAAGATCTTTTTTATGCTTAGAATTTTATTTTTCACTTAAGAGCTATGTGTGTTGTTAATTATTTTTATTGTTGCGTTTTTTGCTTCTGTTTTGCACCTGCATAGATGGGAGTACATGCATTCCCCCTCAGAGAACTCCAAAGAAGCTGAAATTCTGGAAGTTCTGCGCCATCCGAGGGACTGGGTACGTTGAAGCAGGCAGAGTGACCTTACTGGGGCTTGGAGGACACAGAATGTGTGCTCCCTTTCCACTAGTCAGCATCATGGCCACTGTGTGGCACTTAGTTACTTGTGCCTTAGAGTTCCAGTCTTCCCACTAGGGCCTGCTCTCTCCTGGCAATTGCTAAAATGTGTTTAAACCTGTTAAGTTTCCATAGGATGTTTGCGGTGACCAGTGGTGAGGTGGCAAGTTGTCAAGAGGAAACTGGTTGATATAAAATTCATTTCTATTTTTAGAATTATATAATTTGTTTTCAAAATAAGACATTGAGTTTCCAGGTATTGAGTTAAGGAATCTAAATATTATTTGCATCAGGAAACATGTTATTTTTGTTTCATATATTTTTTAAAGTTTTAGTTTCTGCCACAAAAATCTGCAGTGGGGTAAATTTTATTTTCATTAGTTGATCAAGGCTGGTATTTAGTAATTTTAGAAAGCAACTTGATGGTAAAAGTTTTACTTTGCCATTACTAAGGTTTCTTTGATTGTATTCTTTCTATATCTTCCTCCAGAGATTCTGTGTTGCAAAATATTCTTTTTTATCATGATGGAACACTTGAAATTTCCTTAATAATATCTTGTGTTAGAATTCAGTGATTACCTGTGGTTGTTAACTCTAAAGTGACATTGTTATTTAAATAAGGGATATTTAAGTAGTCTTTTTGATTTTGGTAGGACTGTGATTTGTAATGATGGAGTCTTTACACTTTTGATTGTGAAAGCTTATAACTTAGATTCTGATATTTAAAGTTTTCTATTCCAGACATTTTTATTTGGAAATTTAGACTAAGAACAATCCTGGGGATTTGTGAATTTAAAAAAATGTTTCTCATTTGGGAAATGAGGAAATGAGAAACATTTTCCTTCCTTAAGCAGACATAATTAGTGTGAAAAACATTTTATAAACACACTTCTTTGTACTAATTGAAACACTAGTCTTCTTTGTAGACTAATTGAAATTGCCCTCTTTTTAATTATAGATTCTGCAACTCTTTGCTCTTAAGACAGAACCAAAGCAGAATTCTTAGCATGACTTCCTTATTTACATAGTAACATACTTTATTCATAACATATTGAAGTTTAAGGAGTAGCATCTTCCTATATAATACTAAGCAGTGTCTTGGGATATATTGAATGTATATGACTGTGTATGACTCTTTAGGACTGGAAAATGTGTGAATTCTTGAACTGCCCTACAGCAAACCCACTAATAAATTGTATTATGAAGTATGACTAAGACATGTTTCCAGTTTTGATTTTTTAGTACTTGATGTAGGGAAGATACAAGTATTTCTTGATACTAAAACTATAGTTCTTCATTCCTAGGTATTTTACACAAGCAAAATAAAACTAAGTTTTGTACTCATATTTTCATAGCAGCTTTATTCACAACAGCCCCAAATTAGAAAGAACACAAATATCCATCAACAGGTGAATGAATAAACAAATTATGATATACCCATATGTTAAAATATAGCTATTGATAAATACAACAACATGGATGAATATTAGAAACTTTATGCCCAGTGAACCGAAGCTACACACAAAAGAGCTTACATTATACTGACTACATTATGGTGACTACATTATATGACAAACTAAAAAAGTAAAAACTTAAACAACAGGACCATTACAGTGATGTAACAGTAACAGAACTGTTACTGAGAAAACATCAGTGACTGCTAGGGGTTGGGGCTGGAGAATAGATTGTGAAAGGGAACAAAAGAATATTTTGAGGTGATGAAATATTCTATACCTTGATTGGCAGTGGTTAACCAGACTATAAACATTTATCAAAACTCATTGAGGGCCTCCCCTGGTGGCACAGGCTGTTGAGCGCCGCTCTGTGAAGCTGTCCGCAGCCTCTGCAGCGCAGGTTTGATCCCGGCCGGCCGGCCAGCGAGGGTCCCACATGGCACAGCCGACCTCTTCTGTCTCGCCCACTGCTCCCCTCAGCAGTGTATTTCGTCAGTCTGCCTGTTCTGTTCCCCGCTCTGTCTCTGGTGAATCCACTCACCCTCCTGTGCATCTGGCCTGTACCCGTGTTCTTGTATAAATTAAAAAAAAAAAAAAATTAAAACTCATTGAATTTGCACTTAAAATCATGCAATTTTATTATATATGTGATCTGTACTTCAATAAAGTTGAAAAAAATAATATAGGTATATAGGAACTGTTGAAGAAGAAACTAATCTTTCTCTACCATTCTGGGTTTTTAGCACTGGAAAATAATTGCCACAAATTAACAAGAGAAAGACATTTAATTGCATTACATGGAGACCCATAGACTATAAACCCATGATCTGGTCAGTAGAGCAAGTTTATTTAGTTCAGGGAAGGAATAATACATTTGGGAGGGAAAGACAGGACAAGTTGCTGTACCCCAGCTGTACAAGAGCTGTACCCCAGCTCTTGTATACATGAATAAATAAACCTTTTTAAAAAAATTAAAAGTTGCTTATCTTATGGATCTGCTAGCCTGTTTAGTTGTGTTGAGGGCCACTGGGGTGGAGGTTAGGCCTCTGCAAGATGTCCAGAACAGGCCTTCAGGCCACTTTCCCATGTGGATTATTTCAATCTAAATCATGAGCAACTTTTTCCAATCATTTAACTATCTAGAAAAATTAAAATTGGGACCATTACCCAGAATTAGAATTTTTATTAGAAATAACCTTTCTATCTAAAACCCCAATTAGATTATGTGAAGGAAAGATTTGGACATTTAGCAATGCATTTAGAATAATATATACCCATGTTGATTTTTAATGGTGAACATCTGAAACATATAATGTTATAAGGCAGTGTTACTTCAGTAAAAAATAAATAATAAAAATAGTTTCCAAAGTTGTATTTTCCCAACCACAAGAATTAATTATATATTTGAATCCCACATTTAAAAGTTTGATCCTTCCTCCCAAAGAAACACAGGTATTTGGGCCTCCCCGGTGGCGCAGCGGTTGAGCGCTGGGTTGCGAAGCTGCCCGCGGCCTCTGCGGCGCCGGTTCGATCCCCGGCTGCTCCCCGGCCACCGGAGGAGGGTCCCACATGGCGTGCAGACTTCTCCTGCCGCCCGCTGCTCCCCTCAGCAGTGTGCTTCGGTCCTTCTGCCTGCTCTGCTCCCCGCTCTGGCTCTGGTGAATTCTCTCACCCTCCCGCGCTTCTGACTGTGCCCAGTGCATGTATAAACAAAAACAAACAAACCAGCAAACAAATAAATAAAGCATGCCTCTATAAAAAAAAAAAAAAAAGAAACACAGGTATTTGTAATTTCACAATAAATCTAGCACATTTAAGGCAATAAAGCTTAGACATTTACAAGTGACTTGACTAATCCTTTTATGTTGTTACCTGAAACCAAGTCATAGGTTATATAATGTAAAACCTCACAGACCTGTTTCTACAGTTGTTTAATCTAACACTAGCATATAGCAGCACAACAGGTTAATTAAACTACATTCCATCTTGTAGTCATTGTGCTTTGATTCTGGAAGCTAAACATACTCATTAGTATTAATCCCCTTACACATTTCAAAGCATGTTTGCACATAAAATGACAATATCTAACCCATCATTGTTTCAATGCATTGACACAAATACACTCATAGGAAAGTAAATAGGCTTTGTAGTTATTTAGAATTGTAACATTAACTGTTATTGGTGCATTTGCTTATAGAATGGTTAGGGAGGTAGCAAACTGACATTCACAATTATAGTTGTACCAGTTGAGCACTCTAGAATTTAAGAGCAAATGTATAATGCATTTGTAAGTAAAACTTCGTTGCAATCTGCCTCTGCTCAAGTAGGGTCAAAGTTGATTCCATTTTCTGATTTGGTGAGATAATCTCAGGCTTTTAGAATATTCCATGTCTTCTCCTTGATAGTCTTCTAACCATGAATATAATATGCAAAATTTCACCCCAACTTATCAATTTCTCATAGTTCAAGTTGCTGCTTAACTAATAGGTCCTCAAATGATGTTTAAAATATCTATATCACTACAAATGAACTTTAGTTTTTGCTGAAAGTATTTTTTGTTCTGGGTCTTCTATGTGCTTCAACATACGAGTAGTACTTAAAAATAATATATTTCTAGGAAACAAAGACCAAGTTCCTACTTTTCCTCTTACTTCCATCTCCCACCTGTTTCAGTATGTGAGGGAAATATACTATCTCCTTTGTATAGCAGAAAGCAGGCTACTCAGCTGAAGCTCTCACCTGTGGAGCAGAGGCAAGCTATCCTTCCTGTTTCCTAGCAGAATTCTTGACTTACTGCATCTGTGAGCCTAACACAGTGGTGCTATTGTACCTCATTCATTCAGGCAAGTTTGTTAAAGAGCAATAGAAGATTAAAACAGGTTAGATGCTATTAACAAAAAAGAGGAGAGCAATTTTAATGAGCTCGACAACCTGCAAGTCATCGATACCAGTATTTGGAAATGTAAGGCTAAAACTCAGGAAAGAAGTTCAATCTAGAGACAGATGCTCACCAATTAATTGTGAAAGTAATCAAAAATAAGGAGGTACCATCCAAGGAAGTGTGTGAAGTGTAATAAGAAAACAGAGTTAAAGACAGCTGGGGACAGAGGAATGAGTAGGGGAAGAGGTGTATCAGGGAAGGAAGTCAAGAAACAGGTCCCTGAACAAATGGAGCAGAGAAGGAAGGGGAAAGGGACAAGTTTGGTGTGACTGCAATATGGGTTAAAACATAATAGCTATGTTTCTAAATATAAGAGAAGTCATTAAAACAAGACTTGCTGTATGAAATGTTTTGATAAATTGGGAATTAAGTTTAATTTTTAAAAAATTATCAGTTTGTAAGTTACCAGGTACTACTAAAATTTGTATTTAATTTTTTTTTTATTTTTTAAAGATTGATTTATTTTTATAGAGCTAGTGTATAGGCCAGAGGCATGGGAGGGTGAGAGGATTCACCAGAGACAGAGCAGGGAACAGAACAGGCAGAA